TCTTATCTGTTAAAATGATTGTATGGTTTACAATGATTATTTTACATGTCCTATTTTGGTAATGTAAACCTATCCGGATGAAAATTATATAGTTAACTAATATTTAACCACAACGCACATAAGTAATGTTAATTACATAAATCATAATATTAAATCAGTTTATCTTTTACCTCACTATTGAGGCAAGAATATACATTTCAATTATAATAATAATAATCCCATATTAAATAAGTCTTACCGAAACGAAACTATAAGACAGATAGTATGGCATTCGAAAATACATGATTATATAACTTATTTGTTATTTAAACGTTAGACAAAGGTATGAGACATATACTAACATATTTCTTATAAACTACATGTAAAATACAAATGATATCATTTCTTATGTTGATGCTTATTACAATATGATGATTGATATTACTTATAATTACATAAGCTTGAATAGCAAAAGCTATCTACAGGTTTATATTAATACCTTAATTGGCATATAGGATCGAATTTCGAATATTAAAAGCATTGTGGATAAATACTCCCAAGGTTTCAAAGACTATTATAATAGTTGTACATGTTAATGCAGCTGTACATAACGCAGGTCTAATGATAAATACGTCAGCAACGTCAATCTCGATTACACATGTGTTACAAATTGATTTTCTGATGTGTTAAAAATTGATTTTCTGATGTGTTAAAAATTGATTTTCTGATCAAACAAGAGGAACAATTTGAAGAACAACAAATCAATATTGAAGATGAAACCAAAGATGAGCCAATTAAGAAATCTAACGGTCCAATATCACAAAAATCTCTAGCAACAAAAATCATTATGGACAATTAATGACATTGTTCTTGTGCCTCAAATGGGGGCATTTATGGTAAAGGGAACCAAAGACAAAAATCACTCAGTGACATTATTTCCTAAAGAAACCTGCACGTGTCCATCTACAAGTAGGTGTTATCATATAATGGCTGCTATGATGGCAATAGGCATGCCATTACCAGAAGACAAGAAAGTTTACAATTAAACTCAATTAAGAAGAAATTGTCGACCTAAACAACAAAAAAAATGTGGAACAAAAAAGGAAGAAAGTGAGACACCGAAATGGAACAAACAATCAATCTGGACAGCACCAGACTCAGTAGTGAAATCTGCCCAAAAATGTGATATCTTTAACACACCAGTTCATGAAAATAACAAACAGACATTAAGACCTAACTCAGTTGTTAAGAAATCCTTGTTTGATGTGACACTTTCTCCGAAACCTTTAATTAACAGCACGCCAAAAACCCCTAGATCTATTTTAAAAAGTAAAAGCAGTAACATTTCAGAATCAGGTGGCAAGAAACGAAAGTTACAATTTTTAGATGAAACCAGTTTAAAAAAGCAAAAAATCAAAGCAGATTTGTCAGACATTAGTGAATTTAGTGATTTTGTGGAATTTGATAATAGTCGTGATGAAATTTATGATATGCCGGAATCACCAAAGTTAAATATTCAGTGGTGGATTGAAGAGTTACAATTAACAAATGATGACAAATCTGCACTTTTAAAAGGGGGAAAATTTAACTCTCATCATATGGAGGCTGTAAACAAACTACTAAGAAAACAAGTTGGCACTTCAATACATGGATTACAGTTGACTGAAAAAGTTCCTTTTTTTTAATGACACTGAAAATAGATGGATTACTAAATTGATCCTATTGAACAATCACCAGCATGTCAAATTCATCATACCCACAGTGACCACTGGGTAGTGTCCTTGTTCCATAATGACCAAGTTTACTTATTAGACAGTTTAGGAATTGAAAGAAATATAGACAAAATTATACCAGATGGCCTCAAAATACAACCCTTTTTATTTACGGTAGAAAATTAAATGTTGTCTCTCAATTTTTTTTTGAAAAAATAACTCTGTTTACTGGGGTTTATTTTGCAAAAAGCTTTGCATTCTTTTTGTTTAAGGAAAAAAAAATTAATGTATAATTTTTTGAACCAAAATTTTCCCAAAAAATCTGTTAAAATTGGTTTTAAAGTTTTTTGTAAATGTCCCCCAGTGTTTCAAATTAAGAATTTTTTTTGTGGGTTTTTTTAATAGGATTTTCTTTTTAAAATGAAAAATTTCATAAAAAATCAAAGAAAAATAAAATGAGAAAAAAGGGGACATTGAAAGGTCATATTTTGCACTAGTATTTTTTAAATTGTCACAGTAAAAAATAAAAGATTTTTTTTTTTATTTTCAAAACAAGGAATTTAAAACAATTAATAAAAAAAATTCTTTATTTTAGTAATTTTGGGAAAATAATTAAAAATTTAATTTTTGATTATTTCCTAATTTAAAATTTAAAAAACTACTTTAAATTTTAAAACAAAAAAAAAATTAAAATTTGTGTTATGCCCCTTTTTGTAAAATTAAAATTGGGATTAAGGGTTTTTAAAAAAATAAAAAATTTTTTAATTTTGTCAGGTGATTTTTATTCAAAAAAACTTTAAAAAACTGTCGTTTTTTGAACTGAAAAATTTAATTTTTGGGTAAAAATTGACCGTTGTAAAAAAGAAAGGGCAGTTTAAAAATTTAATGTTTTTTCTTTCCCAAAATTCTGGGAAAAAAGTGTCCCTTTTGTATTAAATACTGTTCCGTCCCCCTTGGTTTAAAAAGGGAAATTTATGTTGAAGAAAAATTTAAAAAATTTTAAATTTGGCCCATTATTGCGGCAAAAAGTTAAAATATGATCAAATTCAAAATGTTTTTTAAAATGAATTATATATTTTGCCTTTATTAGAAGATTGCAAATTCTATTATGTTCAGTAATTTTTTTTTTGGTAATAATTAATTAATTATTAATCAATAATTATTTTCTTTACTTTAAATTTATTATAGCTAATTCATGTATTGGTATGACCTTTTGTCCCTGGTATTGTTTATGACATTCATTATGATTAAAAGGTGTGAACCAATTAGTAATAAATGATCTGTACCTTGTTTATTGTTATTTCAAAGTGTCAATACATGTTGTATATTATGTTGTATGTTGTAATACCCTTGATATCGAAGATGAATATCATTTTGTTCTGGTTTGTCCTTGTTATAATAATATTCGTAAGACATATATAAAAAATATTTTTATGTTAGACCATCGATGTTCAAATTTATTCAGTTATTGCAAACTTCAAACAAGCTTTTATTGATGAATTTAGCAAGATACATTAAAGAAAGTTTGGCAATCAGAAATACTCTCTTAAATATTTGATTTTTTAACATCCTCTTGGAAAATAATTTTTTTTTTTTACAATTCTCATATATTATAACATCATGTTTGGTTGTGTAATCATGCATTGTTCTTAAATAATAAAGGTATTTTCTCTTATTTGATACATTATCATATGATATTTGTGTGTTAACATGTATAACTTTTAATGATACTGTTCTCTATCTAGAAAGAAACTGCTTAATAAGTATTTAGTTTTGCTGCTGGTTAACATCTATCCTTCGCCTTTATCGGGAGGGAGTTTTACTTTCAGTGGGATGGTTAGACTCACTGGGTAAAATATGGTATACAATATCCTGTGAGGTTGCCAGTAGTATTTCTATTACTGCTATGATTGAGAAAATATTTACTTATTACTCATAACAATGTACATTCTATTATATATTCTAAGTATCATATTGTACTTTGTGTTACCATGACCACGTGACGTGATAATTGTTTTATTTATCTATATGCATGACGATGTACTATGTACAAGTCTAAATAAAACGTATGTTCTGTTCTGTTCTATATTCAATTTGTTTATCTATGTGATATCTTGGTAAAACATCTTTAATGACAATGATATTTATAGTAATATTACCCTGTTTTATTCATTACTTACTTTTTTTATGTTTTAATATGTAAAGAACTAGCTATAGCTAATACAATAAAGATAAGAAAGATAAAAAAAAGCTTTGAAAAAAAATAATTTTGCAAATTTATAGAATTGTATGTAGCATGATATTTAACCTAAATAACAATTAAAAAAAATATTTTATCAAAACATATATTTGATTATAGATAAATTGATTATAAAGTTGCAACAAAATGTAAGGCCTACTTTATGTTTATTGTCTGCAAGTTCCTTCTTTGTGTATATTGTCTGCAAAATTGTTCTCTGTTTTACAACTGATCAACAGCACCATTGCCCATTCACACCTTTTGACCAGTTGACAAGGGATTAAACATCCCCTATATAATCTATATTGTCTGCAAAGTCTAAAATCCTTCTTTATTTAACTTGTCTGCAAAATCCCTCTATGTTTAACTTGTCTGCAAAGTCTGTCTGTATCTATCTTTATATAAATGTAGATATATATACAAACATATCTTTCACTGAGGAATTATTTAAAATGTTTTAATTAAATACTTCAAATTTGAAACATTTATGTCTGAGTACATGTTTTAATTTATTGTGTATTATATAGAATAGGGCTTGGATTATTTTTTAAATACTTTTTCTATATATTGAAAATTATTGTTATTGTTTGTTTAAGAAATAACATCGGCCTGAGAGGTGTATATCGGCTATTTAACACCGGTTTGGAGTTTTGATGCGTAGGAATTGACCACGAAGGCCGCATTTTTATTACACAGCTTGTCGCATCAAATTTTTTATTACACAGCTTACCAACTGATCAACAGCATAATTGTTTGACCTGTTGACAAGCTATATAATCTATATTGTCTGCAAAGTCTAAAATCCTTCTTTATTTAACTTGTCTGCAAAATCCCTCTATGTTTAACTTGTCTGCAAAGTCGTCTGCAAAGTATACCGTCCCCCTAACACTAAAGTTATCACATTTCCAACACTTTTACCAGGCCTTTGTCAAGTAAATGATTGCTAGCCATTAAAAAGAAGTTGAAATGCGTAACTAGTCACACGGACATTAGAATACAATAGATAAAGAGAAAAAGGTTAAGATATTTAGTGAACAGGTGTCTCCATACATCGCTGACAGGATAATGGAGGGTACGAAAATAATTAGAACGAATTAATAAAGGGGAACAACTCTTTACTTGCCGGATTAAATCAATAACGCAGATTAAATTAAGGTAAACTAATTGGATTCATCTTTAATGAATATTCTTTTCCTGTAAATGATTATTAATTCTAATGATTCACTTGTTTCTTGTGAGGTGACTTCCTTAGATACATATTTTGGGCATCTGTACAGGGACTGAAAAGTGGAATAGTTTTCGGATATTTTGAAAGTTTAACCTTGAAATCAAATCATTAACATGAATCAATATTAATCTCACTACAGCGTCATTAAGTCATTAGTATATCATTAATTGGAATGATTGTGAGTCATTGTTGAATGCTTTGTAAATTAAAGAAAACGTGTTTTTGAACATGGCAGCATGAATGGACCTAGCTTGGCGGCACGAAATACCCAAATATACCCAAATACACCCAAATATAGCAATATTTATTTTTGTTTGTATAAAACATAGATTATAATTAGAAATAGATAAATATTTATAAAAAAATATGACTTAGCCTGCTATAACTTTCATTCATTCCTATAAGATGTAAGAAAATAAAGTTGTGACATTTGCTTATCTACTATATAATATAGGTTCTTTATGAATGTACTTGCAATTTTAAATCAAGTATGATATTTGTTGTCTACACTTACATTTTTTTGGTGTAATTTTGTTGAAATTTCATATCATATACAAGTGTCCATGTTATTAAAAAAAATAATAGCTTTAATGGAGTACATATACTGTATTTTGGTTCAAAACACAATGATAGGAAAATGTATAGTTGGGTATGTTTGATAATATCTTAGTGAAAGTGTATATTGTATTCATGATTAAAACAGCACTTTTTTAGTATTAAACATTTATTTTTAGTATAATTGGGCAATATTTGGGTATATTAAGGCAATATTTGGGTATATTTGGGTATTTAGTGCTGCCCGTCTTTCCCAGCAAACAAAAGACGTTGTACCAACGTTGTACTGACGTTAGACCCTGACGTTGGATAAACGTTGGCAGAAGGTTGGATTTGAAAGTTTTTTAGACGTCAGAATCCGACGTCTATACAACGTCATAAAATGACCCTTATCCAACCTTATCTGACCATAATCCAACCTTTTCTGACCATTATCTGACCATAATCCAACCTTTTCTGACCATTATTTGACCATAATCCAACCTTTTCTGACCATAATCCAACCTTATCTGACCATGATTTAACCTCATTTCAAACTTTTTGGAATATGATTTTTTCATTTTAAGCTCATTAGTAGGGTAAACAAATAAGCATTCTTATAATTTTAACAATTTATTTGCAATACGAATCACATGTACAAAACAATAAATGTGGTACTATAACAAATGTAACATTAACATAATGTATTTTGAACTATTAAACTTGACAGTATGTACGTAAATAACGCTTCATGTATTAAATAATCATGTTTTAGATATACAAAATTCTTCATAAACATTAACACTGACATTTTTTATGGTTAACATTCATGCATGTTTTTCTTTTATCACCAAGGCTTATTTCCGACTGAACCGATCACCCTGAGGTTGGGATTTTCCAATCATCTATCCAACTCACTGATTGTATATTTTTCTTTGTACTTTTTGTTCTGAATGTTAAATGGAACAATATTGTGAATAATTTGATATTACTACAAATCAATGTTCATATATCTCAATTAGCATTCTTCTTTCACCTCCACTATGGCGATCTGGGGCATACTTTAAAGTTTAAGCATATCATAATCTGAACCTTTACCGTCTCCAACCTGAGATATCATCATTCACACTATCTGAAATTTAAAAATAAATCAAATAATCACTTACAATTGCAAGAAATTAATCACTTTTACATATTACAAATAAATGAAATTCTGACAAAACTCTCCAACTACTTTAACAAAAGAGGCTTATTTTTTATTTACTTTAGTTTTAACCATGTAGTTTCATGTACCTATATATCCATTGATTTTGATAAAAATGGCTTCGTGATCAATGTAATATTTTTAATATACCTGTCACAAAATCTTGTGTTTTTTCTTCTTCTTTTCCTCTTAATAATTTTATCTTCCTCCTCTGAACTTTCGACAGTTGTTGAATTTATCATAATTTTCACAATCTCTGATATTCACTGAAAGACAAAACAATATTACGATTATCAAAGCACGTTTACGAAAAAAAAAACCTGATAAAATCTTCACATTTAATTTTCATTAAGTATGACCTGAAAATTTAGTAAGAAATTACGATTTTTGCCTGCGCAAAATTTAATATGAAACTGATATTTTTTATATTTATTATAATTTATATAAATGCTACAACATCAAAGAAATTCACATGTTACTGTCATTTTTATAGATATAATATCTCTGCCCAGCATGATCCGATCTGCTAAGAGTATAAAGGACAGACTGGCTGAGGGTACAAATGTTTTATGATATGAGCATATAACTTGTTTCACTATATTTGATAAGCAGGCTAATTAACAAACTATTATTTTTATTGATTTATAACCTTGATAATGTGTTTACTGACTGATAATATGTTGTCTTATTACATTAATGAAAAGATAAGTAGTCGAAAACAATGTGGTTTCAGATATATCTTACCAAAGTTGTATCATTTGTATCATTTACATGGATAAAATGCCATGAATCATAATCATAATATAAGAAACACTATTAAAGTATGCTCATGGGTAAAATACTTCAATTTAACAACCTGTAGTTACACAACTACACAGACATCAAAATCAAACTGTGCGTGAGACCCTACAGTTATCTGATACATGTGTAAATGACTGGCCCCTCATAAAAAAAATCATGTTGATAAGAAATAAGAGGAAATTTTATATGCCAGCATTTGAATAATAGAGTCTAATTAACGTACTGCATTAAACCTTTTATTGATTTCAATTGCTAGTATATTTTACCATTACCATTGATTATGCAAAAAAAAATTTAGCAATGGCGATATAGTGTGGGAAAAAATGATCCGATAACACAAATTGTTCTAAAGCAAATAATAAAGTGCTCTAACGAGGAAACGAAAATATTTATCTCGCGAAATCATGTGAATTTAAGTTTTACCAGTCAAACTTTACAATGATCAATTAACCGTCGAATCCATGCAAACATGCGGTAAATAAGCATTAAAAACAGTGTATAAAGTTTGCCTACCTTTTTCTATTTGTTTGGAATATACAACTTTGTCTGTCAACCCGTCGTTTTTGTCCGCCAATACAATTGAATTTCAAATCCGATAATACTCCAATTCGAATTTACTAGATTATTTACCACTATTAAATGAAGCCCACAAAAATGATTACAACTTCTTTGTTAATTATTTAACAATCTTCTTTCACTAATTCGAGGAGATAAGTTATTATTAAAAAGAAAATAGAGCAAATATATATTATACTGATCTGCGGCTATCCATTTACCGAGCGCCACCTATCGAATATCGTACGGTAGCCACCCACGTGACACTGTTGTTGTTTTGATTAGGCAAATAAATTTATAATTTTCCCTTTCTAAAGAAACTTAAAATTCTCACTGTTTATGCTTATATTTATATATATTGGTTTTATAAATTAAATTTACCAATTGTCAGATTACCGACCAAAATCCGACGTCGGGTCGACGTCAAAATGAAACGATTGTTAGACGTCGGGGTTTCAACGTTGGTTTGACGTTGTGTGAAGGTCGCCGACGTCGCGACCAATTTTCAACGTTGATCCAACGTTGAGTCAACGTCGGGTGTTTGCTGGGTTAGCGTACCCGTTTATACACTATGACATGACATGAATAGACAGACCCGTAGGGAAAGTCCACCAATAATTGTGCCAGGAATCAGACACGCTCGTATTCATTCATCAAACATGCCATGAAGTAATGTGAAGCATACCTTGATAAAACTATATATAATCTGTTGATAAGCCAAGGATGGACAAATATTAATCTTAGTACAAACATAAACTACCTAATAGTTTCTGACAGGAAAAAAATTCAGCACTTGGCCGCCATATTGCCAAAATGTTTGATCACGTGATTACAAGATTGACCTTTACGAACCCATGCGCTTCCAACATTTTTATAAATTACTTTTTTTGAAAAAGGTGATTTACTGACTTTTGTATTCAATAATATAATCATATTTAAGTACTAAAAAATTAATGAAAATAAATAAAAACATTATCTTGAATTATAAATATTGAAATCATGTCAACAAAGATGTTCGAAATATAGTACACGACTCTACTCTAATCGGTTCCCATGAATGACGTCATAGGAAGTCTCGTGTGGCACCTAAATGTCATGGCCGACTGTACTCGGCGTAATTGATGTTTTGCAGTTAAAATAGGCAATTTTAATGACGGTATTAATATTTTGATACATTAAATGGTATAGAACAATATTAAAATAATTGTTTTATTGCAAAATGCACAAGAATTGATTGGGACAAGGGTATTTGCAAGTGAAAAATAAGGTTAAATCAACTTATGTTATTGAACTTATTCTGGTTAGGTTTCGTAATGGGCCTAATCCAAAACTTTAATGCCCCATCAGATGAAAAACAAAAATATTAAAAAGCGGCTTTTAAAGTTTTGGAAGCCAGAACTAGAATGAACCATACATGTTTTTGATAGATTTAATTAGGTTTCTGTGTGTTAATGTATAATTTTGGTGGGTTATTTTGTGTGTCTCAAAGTAATGAAGTACATGTATTTATATCCTGTTTCTTTGTATTAATTAACCCTTAAAGCTTTATACTTTTGGCATTTTGCTTTGAATTTAGAACAGTCTATTTGAGTTTTAAAATGTTTTATTTACGAATTAAATCAAATAAAGAAAATACAGTATTATATATAGCCTTGTCAAAATGCAGGGAAGTGCAGGATGGCCTGCACTTTATACAGACAAAGGCTAATCACTTGCGGTTCCTTTAGGCCCTGTCATACTAGACTGCAATGTCATGCTGTTTTCATGGCATTGATTAATTCAACAAAGCGCCACAAGATGGCAAGAAAAATCTGATATTTTCGATGACCTGGAGACTCAAAAATGTCTTCACAGCATCCTCACAGTGATCATGGCATTGCTATGGAGTATCCACGCTGTGTAATGTGTTCTTACGTCATTTTAATTGGCAGTTGTCTGCGTTCAGATTAAGCTTTTATTGCGTTCTTTGCGCTTTTACAGCGCTCTCATTTGCGGAGCTAACACTGCGCTAAAATAGTAAAGCTCCATAATAGCGCCGTGCACACACAGTGTAAACGCAGCAAAGACGCCACACAATCTCTGTACAAGCAGGCCTGCGTACAAGTGCTGTGCCATACCACTCCTGTTGCATTGTAGGAGATGCTACCGAGTTGCTAAGGGCCATTCTTACCTTGCGATCTCACTTTGCTCTTATCAGAATGTTGAGTGACACATTTGTTTTGAGCATTCTATGCAATACCACTGCAGTGCTGGGGCAATACTTGCAAATTTACTGCGCTCACCTCGGCGTTCTGAATAATTAGTGTATAAAACATTATTTTTGGTACTTATATTAATTGCAGGCAAAACATCTTTTATTGGCTGCTCAAAAATCTAATTTGCATAATTTATTTTCTTACTACTTATGCCTAATACTGTGCATTATCCATTTTAACAGCTCCTAATTTGCACAAAATGTCCCTGTCACACTGTATACTGACAATTTTTATTGCTCCTTGTATGCCTCTGTGTAGAAAGCATACACCGAATCATGAAAAAAAGTCATGTACAATGTTAATCACCCTGTCAAATATTCTGATGACGAAATAGACATGTTATTTTTACACTTCATCAGCAAAAGCTTGCGTGAACTTGAGTGACCTTGAGTGACAATTTGCACACCTGTCAGATTATACTGTAACTTACAGCATTTCTTTAAATAGCAACACTTTTTTTTCAGTTAACAAATTTTGTTCAGATAAAAGCCCTGGGGTCAAAACTGGCCCTGCCCCAGGGGTGTCATTGTTTTTAACTATATGTGTATAGTAAAAACTTAAAAATCTTCTTTTAAAAAACCCAATGAGTTAGAGGCTAAGAGCTTAGATGTTTAGCATGAAACATCTTCTTATGGGTGTCTACCAAGTTTGTTCAAATAAAAGCCCTTGGGTTAAAATTGGCCCAGCTCCGGGGGCCTATATACAGGTGAGCGACCTCAGGGCCATCATGGCCCTCTTGTTTTATGCTTCAGTTAAAATTTCTACATGTTATTTTATATAATTTTAAATATTAAAGTTTCTTGACATTGTAACTCAAAATTTATTTTGTAAACAAACAAGAACATTTAGAAAATGATGATTGTTTCAGACGTATAATGCACAAATTTAACAGACTATTGTTGCTTTTTGCAGAAGTTTGTAAAATGTTGTTTTGTTTTACGTAAAAATCTATAGATTTAAAATATTTTGCACAAAATCTTTGTTGTTTAGGTGTATGAATAAAATATGTCAATTCTGACCAATTTTAACACTATTCACATAAAAATTTGCCATTACCGAGAAATAAGTGATGACGCGGAATTAGTGATGTTGAGTATATATTAAAAGCATATACTAAATATTAAGAGCTTTTCATTTCAAACTTGATAAACATGTTCACTGTCATGATATGACAACATTTCAGAAGGACACTGAGATAATCTTTAAATTCATTTTTGTAAAGCTATGCTCATTTTACTTATTTTTTCTTCTTCTAAGGTCAGTTTCTAAAAAACTGTCGAAGTTAATCATTTTAAACTTGGAATACTCCTTACATTTTTAAATTGGAATGCATTTTTAAAGGGATGACAACTATAATATTTTTTATCAGTTATGCCCCTTTTTAACTTTGAATTTCTTGGTCAACTGTTTAGATCAACTTCAGGTATATTTCTCAAACAATATCAAAGATATTCTGATTCACTTTAAACCCTGAATGTTTGTTCACTAGAAAATTTGAATGAATTTGTAAGGGGCAAATATTATCCTGAAAGCAGTTTTGTTAAAATATTTTCCTTTTTTACTTAAAATATTTGCCTTTTTCTAAAAAAAGAAGATTTCAATTCAAAATTGTATTTGTTGACTTTAATTTTATTGAACTATCCAGCATTGAGAAAAGTGGAGTATGCTTTTAGCAGACAGGTATTATTTTGTACTTTGATACTATAATCCTTTACTCTTTAATTGGACCATTCCAGATTTAAAATTTGGTAAGTGTATTACATAATTTTAGCTGCTAAAGGATTACTGTAAGGTCAAAATTTTTCTTTGTTTTTGTTGTTGATGTTTTTTTTTAACAAAATCCGACAGGTTTTAATCTTATAATCCCTATTAATATTTGAATTGTTACGGTTATTATCTATAGAAATACATTGTAGTTTCAAGTTATTAAAATAAACTAACAATTTTTAAACACATTGACTGCTGTCTGCAAACAAATTATGTATCTTTTTGTATACCTTTAATGTATTGTTTGTAAACATTAACATAAGGAATGATTTTTATCTTGCTTTAGATGGTACAAGGTATTTGTAGTGTTAAGACATCTATCTAGTTAAGATAAGAAGTCAAGATTAGGTCAGATGTTAAGGTATGATACATGTATATGTATTTGTACCATTTTAACAATATGTTAGTTAAGTCATTGAAGAGAGATAGTCATTCTTCTATTATATACATATACATGTAGTCAGGGTTTCGTTTCAAAAAAAAAGATATAGCATTAAATTATATAAATTGGATAATGATAATATTGTATATACAAATCAAAAAGATGGCTGAAGTTTTTTTAGGTTTGTCTGAGGGGGACCAATCATAAAAATTTAAATTTAGCTTTTTTTATGAAGTTAATACGGAACAAAAACAGCAACAAAATCATATTATGGATTTATAGTTTAAATTGAAGGAAATATACAAAAGGGGTACTAGATTAGAAACACAATTTTCATTTGTCATACAAGAAACAAATACAACAATTATCTGGCCTAGTGCATGGAATATATAATGTTGATGATAACATATGATTTTTATGTCCGCATATATTGTTGTGTATTACAGATCATAAAGGTTACAAGTTGAATACAGTGTAGATAAGTCAGCTGAGATCTAGTGTCGTAAAAAGTGTTAATGGATACTTCATTTATGTAAGTATACTCCGGTGATCAGTAGACTTTGATCATACATTAATTACATCTCTTTTAGCCCTTACATGTATAAAAAAAATGGTTTTATAAACATCAATTTTTTCTGAAGAGGACCAACAGTCAAAAGCTAAAGAAAAACAATTGTTAAAATTTATTTAAACTGATTATATAGCCCTTAGTATATTAATTATAGCTATTAAGGTATATAAATTAAAGCTAAGGTTGTAAACCTTTTACCCCATGAGCATATTGCGAAAAAATGGCCATTTTCATTGAAAAGCCTCCTGTTACAAGTTCAAACTGCTATAAAACTATGAAAAATGCTTCAATACTGATGAAACTAAAAAATGGCACATATGTTCACTAAACCATAACCTCTTATCTTAAATTTCCTGTTACCATGGCAATGGGGGACGTCTCAAAATTGCGAAAAATCACTATTTTGCATTGTTTTTTTCCATCAAAACTAATTTTAAAGTGCTGCAGCTTCTCAATGCATATTTGAGATCGAGTAAAAGGCTTTTCATCGTTGGTTACACGTCACCTTAAGATCGAGCTGAGGCCATTTTAGCCTGTAAAATTTTCTTGGCGATGAGGGGGACTACCGCCCCCCTTCAAACCCCCCAAAATAAAAAACATTTCTCAAATGAAAAACAGTGTTTGGGGCCCTAAATAGGGCATTTTTTCACTGTTTGAGGCCTCAAAGTGGGTTGGACAATAAGCTGTCAAAACACGTCTATATGAGGAAAAACTCAAAAGGTTAATCAACAAATTATTCAACTTAAAAAGTTCCTGTTTCTAAGTGGGGAATTACAAAGACATAGCTTCTGTGAATTTAAAATAAATTCCTCTGCAGTCTTGTGTCGGAAATATCAAGGTGTCTCCTGATCATGAATGCGTTCAGGTGTGGTTGATGTGTTTAAAAAAGTCTTGACAAGTGTCTTCTCATTCTGCAGATAAAGAGGAAATTTTGTCTGTCAGCAACATCTCATAATGTTAAGTATTTCATATTTTATTTTGCTAAAAGCAATGAGATATTGTTAAGGGTCTCTTTCAATATTTGGTGCTAGAGTTATGAACCTTGTCAAATAAGATGTGGTTAATGATAAGAAACATATATTTGAAGTATGAAGCATTTTATTATGATGTAACATCATTTGCATTATACAACATAGTGTAAAGACATGCTAAATGTTAGCATTACACTGAAGGCATCAATGAAAAGATTATTCTTTTTCACTTTAAAAGTCTTTTTTTGAGTATGTGATAGATAGAATATTATATTTGTTTGGGTACATTACTGAATTTATTGAACTTTTTCTTTTTTCTTTTATTTTTCAATCATAATACATATAAACATTCAAATGATAGTAACTAAATACATTAAAGGATAATTTCAGATTAATTAATTCAAATAATGACAAGTATATTTGTATCTTAAGATCTTCTAATAAAACGTTTTTGAAAGAAGAAAAGGAGTGCTAAGAAGTGCTTATTGTACGATAAAGTGCATAATAACAATAAGTATGAGTGAGAGAAAAGAATTTGTATGTAAAAAAGGAAAGATAAATAGAGAATGAGAGAAGAAGAAAAATGCAAAAAGATAGAAAAGATAAAGGTCAGTTACAAAGTAACAAGTTAATAGTTATTAAAAAAAAGTAAAAGAAAAAAGAAAGAATGGACTAGTCTATGGATTAAAGTGAATAAGAACTGGAGATTGTTTCCTTTTCTGTGTGTATATGCATATTTATATGTCTAAATTGTGTGGTTTTGGGTCTTTAAAATATTAAGTTTTACTGAAATTTGACAATTTTTCTTAAAAAATTTGTAGATTCTCTTGTATTAACGATATTTCTTTTTCAATTCTAATCCTATACAATGTATGTGAGAAATGGCATTAATTTTTCAAAAGTGGTATAATTTTGCTATATTTCATTTTAAGTATGAAGTATTTACACAGAAATTTGATAAAATTTACAGTGTTATGTTTACCTAATATACCAAAACATACCTGGGTTAGGCTTAGAGGTATTTTATAACCTTTAGAGAGTAAAAATGTTTGAATTTTGTTCCAGAAAACTTGTGTTAATTGACATTCCTATATTAAATGTTCAATAGATTCTATCTCGATAGAACAAAAATCATGCAAGTTGCTAGATGATAATTTGCTTTTAAAGGTATTTATTTGTTGGCACAAAATGCATTAAAAATTTGTATTGAAAACAATAAAGATTGGTGTCGATTCACTGCGTCAGAGCTTCAAGTTGCTGTCAGTTAATTATTTTTATGCCATATAAATATAATTGTTCCAGTTTGTTGATACAAAACAATAAAATCATCAAAAAATACACTTTCGTTCTTAGTCTCTTTCTATAGTTTAATTTATAGAAAGAGACTAAGAACGAAAGTGTATTTTTTGATGATTTTATTGTTTTGTATCAACAAACTGGAACAATTATATTTATATCACATAAAAATAATTAACTGACAACAACTTGAAGCTCTGATGCCAGTGCATTGTCATTATAAATGTGTGATTGGTTTTTCAACAATTATAGCAATGCATTCATTTGTAGTTTATACAGAAACTGATTTGGTGACTTGTTTTTTTTTCAAGTTTTTCTTTTTCAATGTCTTCTTTATTCCAATAGAGAAAATGCATTGAAATGTTTTCTTTAAGGCTCTTTGTTATAGCTTATATTAATTGGTGATATTTTAAATAATCTTGTGTATCAAGATTTACAATTTGATCTGCTGTTTCAGATTGATAAAAGGCGTTTGTACGAAAATCATAGAGTTGGTCTATATAATTTATGAAATTATGCCTTTTTCATGTAATCTATTCCAGTAAATTGTATTTTGGTGTAATTTAATCTCAGTTGTTGAATAAAATAATATTATCCAACTCGTTCAATAAATTCAGTATTGAACTTACACTCATTCAGTATCCTTTATATACATGTATGCTTCTTCATGAATGTTTCAGACCAATTCCGAAGGTTATAAATGGCAGTATAGCTGGGTTAGTTGGTGTAACATGTGTGTTCCCGATAGATTTAGTTAAAACTCGGTTACAGAATCAACAACTTGGGCCAGGAGGTACCCCTCTGTATAACAGTCTGTAAGTTTTGTACCTTCCATGTTTGTTAGTTAGGGAATAGATATCAATTTTGAGTTTATTGTTGTAGAATAATGCATGATCTGAGTTCAGATGCGTAGTAAAATAACCATGACTGAGTGATTATTAACAAAGCATTTTAATGAAACTGTGCATTGTTATACTATAATGCAAAAACAATTATAATTATCTACTTCCATTCTCTTTATTGAGGTTCTGCATGTAACTTTATGTTTGATTAATCACAGAAGATATTCATTTAAATCTTCACATATCATTAAGTGATCATAATGGTAGGTCATTGACTTACACTAGAAATTCTTATCAAAGATATTTACTAAATAATTAAACCCCTTGTGAACTTCATAGTTAAGGTTTTCCTCAAAATAGGCGACATTAAAATAGAAACAACAGTATTATGTTATGTGTGAAATGTACGTAATTGAACATAACCCATGATTATATTTCAGATTTGACTGTGCAAAGAAGACATTCAGAAATGAAGGATTCTTTGGAATGTATAGAGGTAAGAAAATATTGAATAGTTGTTAAATGGAAATGATTCTTTAGTTCTCACAACTGTGCCTTTGAATCCTACCAAGTACATATGTACAAATGTATGTTAAGAATTTCATGAAAAAAAAAAAAACCCAAACTTTAACAGCTACCTTACAAAAATGCAGTACTTCTGCATGTACATAGGTGCTTCCATAAAGTGTTGAATGAAGAAATAATTTGAAGGATTTTTCTACATCAATAAAGCATAGGAAATACCATATGTTATTATCTCATCTGTATAGAAGGAAAAGTTGGGCTATTATAATCGCTGCAGCATAATTTGCTGTCGCTGTTGTGCAAAAACATTAATGTAGCCCATTATTCGAACATTCTAAAAGTTATCAACATGAAATTTGGAATACTTGCTTATTATTACAAGGTGCAGTTGTTGGACAAGTGGCATAATTCTGAAAGCAATATTTTTGGAGCTGTGCCCCTTTTTAGCTTAGAATTTTCAACAGATAAGCATTAAAACCACATGTGATGCTCTTGTTTTATATCTGCCATGACAATTGAGGAGTATGTTCTGGTAAACATGTTTTACATCTGTTCAAAAATAAAAATGAAATTATAGATCCATATTGTCCATGTTTTTATCTAAAGTGTGTTTGGCATAAATGTCATGTTGTACTTTTTTAACTAATGAGTAAAATGATTACAGATATGAAACCAGAACTTAGTTTTGACACACTATTGAGATTCTTTTTGTACATTGATAGTATGGTTTATTGTGTCGCCTCTACGGCGTAGTGGTGACATATAGGGATTACTTTTCTGTCGTCTGTCCGTCCGTCACAAAATTGTCCGAACTACTCCTCATAAACTACTGGTGCAATTTCATCCAAACTTTACAGGAATGATCAGTACCAAGTCTATTTGTGCATATTGTCAGCATTTTCCGGTTCAATGATTTTTGTCAGAGTTATGGCCCTTTAATAATTTTTATTTTTAAAGTTTGTCCGGACTACTTCTCTTATACCACTAATGCAATTTCAATGAAACTTTACAGGATTGATCTGTAGCTCAAGTCCTTGCGCATATTGCACAGGTTTTCCGGTTGAATGATTTTTGGCCGAGTTATGGCCCTTTGATAAAAAGGTGTTTTTGTTTCTGTGTGTTGCCAGATACACAAAAGCTTGTCCGGACTACTCCTCATAAACTACTGTCGCAATTTTATCCAAACTTTACAGGAATGATCAGTACCAAGTCTAGTTGTGCACTGTTCATCTGTCTGTCCGTCTGTCACAAAACTTGTCCCAACATGAAATTGGCCATCATGAGGCGACTCACTGATCGCTCTTGTATATATTTCAGGTTCAGGTGTGAATCTTTTACTGATTACACCAGAAAAAGTCATCAAATTAGTAGGCAATGACTTCTTCAGACATGTGTTGAAGAATGACCAGTAAGTTTTACAAATGTTATTCTAAGAAACAAAATTTATTGAGTGTTTTGTTCAATAAAACTTATCTTTACTTTATATCACTTTAAACAGTAATAGTGATTATCACAGGGCTATGTTAATATAGTTTTAAGCCATATGAGGATAGATGCATGCCAGGTTTCAGTACCATGAGGTTTGTCAATATACTATAATGGTAGCTGATCAGTCCGAGTATTTTGATAATAATGCTCCTAGCTGCAACAAGATTTGAACAGTTCCAAGATCAAAGCAAGAAAAGTTTATTATATTTGGAGAAATCTGAATAAAAATTATGATAACAATACTGATATAGAATATTGATTAAAGGGGTGATGGAATCATATCTATATGAAAATTTTACTTTCTTGCATATCAGACTGGTGTTTCTGTTAGTTTTACCATGCCAGAAATGTCATCTGGCATGGTGCCAGATGAGTCACATGCTATACAATGGCATGCTTAGGATGACATAATTTTACTGTTATGAATGAAGTTGTAATTTCATACGCTGTTGTAAGAAAATAGTTACAGGTGTAATGACATAAATTTCCATGGAAAATTGTTTTATTAAGGTAAAGAATTTAAAATATGATGGAATATGGTAGAATATGCAAGAAAAAATATCTAACACAAGTTTATGGTTCTCATCAGAATATCTATCCCTTGGAAGCCCACCAATAAGCGGGTCCCGTTGGGATGGATATTCTGATCCAAAAAGCAACATATGACAGATATTATTAATCTTAATTACTGTATTGTGTGTACATGAACATCTAAAATGGAAGCAAATGGATGTCAATACTTGAGCATTAACTGTGCACAGGTATAACAATATCTAAAATTAACCCCCATCATACACTGAAAAATGATAATTTTCCTATGTGAGATAATCAATATATGGCAGCAGCCTGCATTATAAATGTAGACATTAAGTCAATTACATATTAGATCTTTTATTAATCAACCTGTAAAGAAATTTATTCTATTGAAATGCATACTTAAAGATATATTATGCTCAAATTAGATATTTGAAAAAGAAAACTCATAAATATTATAATCTCTTTGGAAATGGAAAAGAAACATCTTTTGAATCCACACTGAGAAATATGTTACACTTTAAACTCTACACATTAAAAAATATTTTACCAAAAGATGAGCATAGTATATCTTTAAATGCCCATTTTTTTCATTCATTAAATGACTTTAATGAAAGGCCTTTACTTATGTGTATGCCCATTACACAGGGTAATGACCAGAAACAAATAAAAAAAAATGTAAAATCCTAGATGAAAAATGCACATTTGAATATTATAGAAATTATCATTTATGCAGCTGTCTTTTATCATGTAGTATACCATTGATTATAGGCCAAAAAGTATTTAGTTATGGGTTCTTGCCCTTAAATTTTATCTTTTTTTTTTTTAGCTCACCTGTCACAAAGTGACAGGGTGAGCTTTTGTGATCGCTTTTCGTCCGGCGTCTGTCCGTCCGTCGTCCGTCCGTCCATCCGCCCGCCCATAAACTTTTACTTTAAATGACATCTCCTCATAAACCACTAAGCCAATTTCATCCAAACTTCACAGGAATGTTCCTTTGGTGGTCACCTTTAAAAATTGTTCAAAGAATTTAATTCCATGCAGAACTCTGGTTGCCATGGCAGAAAAAACTTTAAATATCTTCTTTTAAAAAACCATAAGAGCTAGAGCTTAGATATTTGGCATGAAACATCTTCTAGTGAGTGTCTACCAAGTTTGTTCAAATAAAAGCCCTGGGGTCAAAATTGGCCCCGCCCCGGGGGGTCATTGATTTTCCCTATATGCATATAGTAAAAACTTAAAAAATCTTCTTTTAAAGAACCCAAAGAGCTAGAGCTAAGATATTTAGCATGAAACATGTTCTAATGGGTGTCTACATAGTTTGTTCAAATAAAAGCCCTGGGGTCAAAATTGGCCCCGCCCCGGGGGGCTTTGATTTTCCCTATATGCATATAGTAAAAACTTAAAATATCTTCTTTTAAAGAACCAAAAGAGTTAGAGCTAAGATATTTAGCATGAAACATATTCTAATAAGTGTCTACCAAGTTTGTTCAAATAAAAGTCCTGGGGTCAAAATTGGCCCCGCCCCGGGGGGTCATTGATTTTCCCTATATGCATATAGTAAAAACTTAAAAAATCTTCTTTTAAAGAACTCAAAGAGCTATGGCTAAGATATTTAGCATCAAACATGTTCTTATAGGTGTCTACCAAGTTTGTTCAAATAAAAGCCCTGGGGTCAAAATTTGCACCACCCCGGGGGTCATTGATTTTCCTTATATGTGTATAGCAAAAACTTAAAAAATCTTCTTTGAAAAACCCAAATAGCTAGAGTTAAGATATTAAGCATGAAACATCTTTTAGTGAGTGTCTACAAAGTTTGTTCAAATAAAAGACCTGGGGTCAAAATTGGCCCCGCCCCGGGGGGTCATTGATTTTCCCTATATGCATATAGTAAAAACTTAAAAAATCTTCTTTTAAAGAACTCAAAGAGCTATGGCTAAGATATTTAGCATCAAACATGTTCTTATAGGTGTCTACCAAGTTTGTTCAAATAAAAGCCCTGGGGTCAAAATTTGCACCACCCTGGGGGTCATTGATTTTCCTTATATGTGTATAGCAAAAACTTAAAAAATCTTCTTTGAAAAAACCCAAATAGCTAGAGTTAAGATATTAAGCATGAAACGTCTTTTAGTGAGTGTCTACAAAGTTTGTTCAAATAAAAGACCTGGGGTCAAAATTGGCCCCGCCCCGGGGGTCATTGATTTTCTTTTATATGTGTATAGCAAAAACTTAAAATCTTCTTTGAAAAAAACCAAATAGCTAGAGTTTAGATATTAAGCATGAAACATCTTCTAGTAAGTGTCTATAAAGTTTGTTCAAATAAAAGCCCTGGGGTCAAAACTGGCCCGGCCCCAGGGGTGTCATTGTTTAACTATATGTGTATAGTAAAAAAACTTTAAAAAAAATCTTCTTTTAAAAAGCCCAATGAGCTAGAGCTTAGATGTTTAGCATGAAAACATCTTCTTATGGGTGTCTACCAAGTTTGTGGCAAATAAAAGCCCTTGGTTTAAATTGGCCCTGCAACGTTGGGGGGGGGGGGTTGGGGGGCCTATATACAGGTGAGCGACCTCAGGGCCATCATGGCCCTCTTGTTTAAATATTTATTGCATTTTGAGTATACCTCAAATAAAATCCATCATCAACCTCATATTTGTTACTGAAGAAGAATGGGAAAGAATGAATGAATGAAGTTAAAGCTTAATGAGGGTCCATCCGCCCTTTCGGGCACAAAATGCAGCTTGCGCTGTCGAGTACGGACCCCGGACATGTCACCAGTCATGTCCTTAAAGAGTTGGCCTGCCTTTCAAGCCGTCTAACCATGCTAGGGGCTCACGCACCCTAGCACACCGTCCTCGTCGACCCAAGCGCCTACTTTGTACGGCAACTTCCCTACACCGGCAGCTGGTCCGCAGTTGTTGACGAAGTAGTGGGGTTCCATAGTTAACGCCCACGGAGGAGGCGGTTTAAGTTGTCTACCAGCCAAGCTGTAAATCTTCTGCGGATGCCCTGTGCCTTCTCAGCAACGTGAACGCTCCGAGGGGAAGTGAGAAGGAATGGGAAAGATAGTTTCTGTTATTGTATTATAATGTCACCAAAATGAAAGATCAAGTATAAAAAAAACAAAAAACACATGGCCCTTTGTTCACTGTGAGGGTCAGAATAAAGATCAGGATCAAAGTTCAAAACTTATAAATTCACTAATGCTTACTCTCTTGGATTTCATTCCATATTAACTCCTTCAAACTTTCTTGAAATAGCAGGTTTATGAAATTTAAGAACAGACACATTTTTTACAGTTGATCCAAAAATTGATTTGATCCTAAAATTGATCTTTAATTTGATCAAATTATTCTTATATTTTGTATTGTCATTCCTGAATTTTACCCCAAAAATAGGATTAGGTCTTTGCAAATCAGCATTTTTTATACATTTTACTGTATGAACCGTATCATTTAAGCCAAATATATTCAATTTTAGTTTTATAAAGTAATGAAATTATGATCATTTGATCTTGATTTTTCTTTGTGAACACAAGGCCTGGGTACATGTATAAATGATCGTGTGTGTGATTTCTGACCAAACTATCTAATGAAGATGATTTTATTTTCTCCAGGAATGCATTGACAATACCCCGGGAGCTACTGGCTGGCGCTGGGGCTGGAATGTGTCAGATTGTAATTACAACACCGATGGAGCTTCTTAAAATACAGTTACAGGATGCTGGTAGAAGTGGTAGGTCATTTTGATCTTACATAGATGTACATGTATAAAAATATTTTTAAAAAAATATTGAGTAAAACTAGATAGAAATTCTTTTTTCTTTTCTAGATAAACATGAAATTTATAGAATGATAAAAGGTATGAAATCATTAATGTTTACTTACACCTGCTCATATTTTAGACTGAATGACACAAATATTTCAGTTACTTATGCAAAATGAGAATTTGTGCTGTATAAGAATTTTTCAAACTGTTATTAACATACATATGTATTTGTATTACAGTTAAGAAAGGCTGTTTTTCAGGCTGTAATAAAATTACTGTCCCAAGCAGGGGAAGACATTAGATTTTGAATTAAGAATTGAGGATTTACATTGTGTAATCACATACAATAATCACATATAATAATTGAGGATTCAGCTCAAGTACTAACTGAAAGCAGTTTCCGCAACTATATCTCTTTAATAATTGTGCTTTAAAAATAGGTTTGAAACTTGGAATAGGGTGAATACTGGTCTTTAAGTTGAAAAAGATGTGTGCCATTCGATAAACTGAGGCTGTTGCTCCCAGAAAATTGTAATTTTGTATGCCTATTTGACATATTATTGTACTGTCTATATTATAATTTCATGACAGCGCGAGTTGACATGGCAGCTGAAGGTGATGCTGTAGCAGGTAAAGTTAAAGCTCCAAGACTCTCTGCTACACAGATCTCATTGGAGTTGATCAAGAAAAAAGGCTTGATAGGATTGTACCAGGGTTGTGGGGCCACCTTGCTTCGAGATGTCACATTCTCCGCTATATATTTCCCATTGTTTGCCAATCTTAATGCAATGGTAGGTGCAATTCAGTAGTTTCAAATATAAGTCTAATTCAATCACATACTTTGTCATTGTGAATTTTTGAAGCAAAAAAAAAAACCAACTGTTGTCTGCATAAATATAGCCTATCAATATCACATTAGACAAAAAATGCCAACATGTTTTTGTTGTTGTTGTTTGTTTTTTTACTTGAAAAATCAAATAACAGCCAGGATTGTATGTATATTCAAATACATTCTTTAAAAGTATGGTTGCCAGTACTTGAGAAGTTGCCCTTAATAAGCTTAGGGTTTTTTTGGTTAAAGCCCAAAAGATTTTATTTAGTATAAAGCCTTACATTGAGGGTCTCCAAGAATAGAAGACTATATGCTGTGTTATAGTGAAGACATTAGGATAACAATAAGTCAGTTGTATGGGAATAAAATAATTGATTTATGATCAGCGAATTTTATATATTTTAAGGGTAAAAAACGAGAGGGAAGTAACCAGGCAGTGTTTTACCATTCTTTTATATCTGGTTGTGCAGCAGGCTGTGTAGCTTCCTTTAGTGTTAATCCATTTGATGGTAAGTTAATTCATTTGATGGTAAGTTAATCCATTTGATGGTAAGTTAATTCATTTGATGGTAAGTTAATTCATTTGATGGTAAGTTAATCCATTTGATGGTAAGTTAATCCATTTGATGGTAAGTTAATTCATTTGATGGTAAGTTAATCCATTTGATGGTAAGTTAATTCATTTGATGGTAAGTTAATCCATTTGATGGTAAGTTAATCCATTTGATGGTAAGTTAATCCATTTGATGGTAAGTTAATTCATTTGATGCTAAGTTAAATACATTTGATGCTAAGTTAAATACATTTGATGATAAGTATATTCATTTGATGGTAACTTAATTCATATGATTTTAAACTAATCTATTTGATAGCAAGTTAATCCATTTGATGGTACACATGTAATTTAATTAATTTGATGGTAAGTTAATTCATTTGATATGGTAAGTATGTTCATTTGATGATAAGGTAATCCATTTGATTTTAAGTTAATCTATATGATAGCAAGTTAGTTGATTTGATGCTTATTCAATCAATTTGATGGTAAGTTAATTAATTTGATGGCAAGTTAAGCCATTTGATTGTAAGTTATTAATGGCAAAAATATTTTTGCTTTGTTAGGGTGTGGATTGTCAAGTCAACAATTTCTGCAGATTTTTAAACTTGCAGAACTTACAGCAATATTAATGTTGTTTATTGTGTACCATAGTTTATCCACCTAGTAGATAAGGTGTTTGCCTATCCTGATATACCTATCAAATCATGGAGTGTGAGTTTTAGGTCACACTGGGGGTCATGACCATGTTTCAAATTTGGTCGTATGACACAACAAAGTAGTGGTTAGTTTGAGGAAATAAACTAAAAAATGGTTCGAATATGCTAAGAGATTTCATTTCAGTTAAGCTAACTTAAGATCTTTATTAAGAAGAAAAAATCAATAAGTTTTAACAGGTGTATAAAAAATATGCTAAATTTTTCACAGATGTGCAAAAAAGCTTTTTTCGGGATTTTCTCCTTTTTTTTTTTTCAAAAAAAAGGCGAACAAGAATTAAAGTTATGCAGATGACATAATTCAACAAAGTTTGTTGATTGTCAGGTTCAGGATCTCTTGTTTATCATTATTTTCAGTTGTAAAAACAAGGTTACAGACAATACACAAAGGTCATGGTGAACAGACTTATGATGGTATAGCTGATTGTTTCAGGTTAGTTTAAGAAAAAGTATTAACGCTTTGGTTGCAAGAACTTTAATTATATGTAATTATTATTATATTATAATTTGATGAAATTACAATAGTTTTGCTAGAGAGATTTCTAAAATGCATAGGAAATACTATACCTGATGGCTACATAAGGTTTAAAACACCTGAATGTTTATAAAAGAAAATTTTAATTCCACTATTGGGGCATCTGTGGCCGAGTGTTTGTTGACTTCAAACCAAACTACCAGTTGTCCTACTTACATGCCAACTCTTGCCACCTTGTGTCATCCTCTACCAGTAAAACTTTAAAGTTAACATAGTTATGATCTTCAAAGTGATGGTGTGACTTGAAATCAAACTACCCCCCAACAAAATAATAAATGCTTTCTATGAAATCTGTAAAAGTATTGTTATATGTTTAATTCATTTATTTTTATACTTACAGAAAGGTTTACGCCAACGAGGGACCAAAGGCATTTTTTAAGGGAGCCTTGTGTAGGATTCTGGTTATAGCACCGTTGTTTGGTATAGCACAGACAGTTTATTATCTCGGAGTGGCGGAATATTTACTTGGATACCCACGCCAGTAGAATGGTACAAGCATATGGTACAAGGTTACAAGGAATGGACTGTGTTCAATATTTTATGACACAAGCAGGGTCCAAAGTGATTATCTTGAGTTGGGGAAGCAGTCTGAAATTTTGTCTTTCTCTGATTGGCTGTTTCCTATTTACAACTTGAAATTAACCAATCATTGAGAAGCATCTTAAGACTGGTTCCTCTAATTCACAGCACAGATCTGAAGTACCGACATTGTTAAGTTTTTTTTTGTGTTGTTTTTATTTTCTCACTCGCATATTATTCGCTTGCTACATAACTTTTATTATTATTTTGTGAAACTGAATTTGTTAAAAATGATAATTTGATATCATTTTTACCAGATGTTTTATATGTAAACTTGTTTGTGGATTCGAATTAACATACATGTATGGCATAAGTTGTTAAAACCACTGTACATGTTTTAAGTGGTGTATTTGATTGTCTTTTTGCAGTCAAAGAACACATTTAAATATTTTGAATGAATAAAATATAAATCATATGAGAAATATTTGTGACAGAGAAAGTTTATATGTTATATTAAAAGGGAAGTAACTGTTCAACCAATGGTAGCTGTTTAAAATGTTTAATTTTTAGCTCACCTGAGCTTGCTCAGGGTGAGCTTTTAGGATCGGTGAATGTCCGTCGTCCGTCGTCCGTCCGGCCGTCCACAATTGCTTGTGAACACTCTAGCGGTCGCATTTTTGCCTCAATCATCATCAAACTTGGTCAGGATGCTTATCTAGTTGAAAGCTCGGATGAGTTCGAACATGGGTCATCTCGGATGAAAAACTAGGTCACAAGAGCTAAAAATAGAAAAACCTTGTGAACACTCTAGAGATCACATTTTTGACCCAATCATCATCAAACTTGGTCAGGATGTTTGTCTAGGTGATAGCTCGGATGAGTTCGAACATGGGTCATCTCGGATGAAAAAGTAGGTCACAGGAGCTATAAATAGAAAAACCTTGTGAACACTCTAGTGGTCACATTTTTGAACCAATCATCATCAAACTTGGTCAGAATGCTTGTCTAGTCAATTGCTTGGATGAGTTCGAACATGGGTCATCTCTGATGAAAAACTAGGTCACAGGAGCTAAAAATAGAAAAACCTTGTGAACACTCTAGTGGTCACATTTTTGACCCAATCATCATCAAACTTTGTCAGGATGCTTGTTTAGATAATAGCTCAGATGAGTTCGAATATGGGTCATCTCGGATGAAAAACTAGGTCACCGGAGCTATAAATAGAAAAACCTTGTTAACACTTTAGCGGTCACATTTTTGCATCAATCATCATCAAACTTGATCAAAATGCTTGTCTAGGTGATAGCTCGGATGAGTTCGAACATGGGTCATCTCGGATGAAAAACTAGGTCACAGGAGCTAAAAATAGAAAAACCTTGTTAACACTCTAGTGGTCACAATTTTGACTCAATTGTCATCAAACTTGGTCAGGAAACTTGAATAGGTCATTGCTTGGAATAAATCGAACATGGGACATCTCGGATGAAAAACTAGGTCACATGAGCTAAAAATAGAAAAATCTTGTTAACACTCTAGTGGCTACTGTTGTGATCCAAATATTCTGTTAATTGGTCTGAAAGTTTTTTTTGATGATTTCTAAGTCAAGATCAAACATGGGTCATCTTGGATGAAAAACTAGGTCACACCGCCCAAATATGGAAAAACCTTGTTAACATTCTAGTGTCACATTTTCGACTCGATTATCATCAAACTTGGTCAGGATGCTTGTCTAGGTAATTGCTTGGATTAGTTCGAAATCGCATGTGAAACTAGGTCACCGTGGCTAAAAATAGAAAAATCTTGTTAACACTCTAGTTGCTACTGTTTTGATCCAAGTATCCTGGAAATTGGTCTGAAAGTTTGTTTTGATGATTTCTAGGTCAAGTTTGAATATGTGTCACCTGGGTAAAAAACTAGGTCGCACTGCTCAAATATGGATAATCCTTGTTAACACTGTAGTGGTCACATTTTTGACTCACCTGTCATGAGACTTGGTCAGAATGCTTGTCTAGGTAATTGTTTGGATGAGTTTGATAATTCAGGTGAGCGATCTAGGGCCATCATGGCCCTCTTGTTTCCCAATAGCATCAACCATCAAATTGGCTGAGCTGTTGTTCTTAATTTGTTGTGTGGTCATGTTTTCTCCAAAAGTCCAAAAAAAGAAAGATCTTGTAAACAAATAAAATTCAAATGGCAAAATATAAACAGTTTTAGGTAAATATACAGTCATAAAATTCCAAATTAAAGCATTTTCATTTGTTGAATAAGTACATCGAATGTAATTAGTGTTATTCAAATGATGATCTGCTTCCATTACCATATTTCTCTTTATGTAAGCCTCCAGGTGACATGTAAATGTCAATAGGATCCATGTATTTGAGAACCTGCAATTTACCTTTTTAAAAATATTTGAAACAACTATAATGGTAATCCTATGCTGTCAAGCTTAAGTGCAGATAGATTGGGAATCTTATAAAAAAGACAGGGAGCTTATATTATGAGAAATACGGTATTTTTACAGTTAATTGGTATATGCAAAAAGTTTAAGAATATTATTTGTTTGTTTTGTCATTTTGTTTGCCACATTGTTTTACATTCATATGTATAATAGCCTCACTATGATTGTTAAGTATTGCATTTATATCATTTTTTGGTAATCTTCTAAAACTGGTTCAAAATAACCACCTAGTGTGGATTTAGATAACTTTAACACATTCGTTTCAGATGGTTTTTATAGATATTGTTTGGATGCTATTTATTTTTGACTGCAATATTGGAAAAGGTGCCCAATTTTATATGTTAAATAGTTGTTGTAGCAATAGCATGTGTATTTGCAAGAACAGAACCATTTTTAGCTCACCTGTCACAAAGTGACAGGGTGAGCTTTTGTGATCGCTTTTCGTCCGGCGTCCGTCCGTCCGTCGTCCGTCCGTAAACTTTTACTTAAAATGACATCTCCTCATAAACCACTAAGCCAATTTCATCCAAACTTCACAGGAATGTTCCTTTGGTGGTCACCTTTAAAAATTGTTCAAAGAATTTAATTCCATGCAGAACTCTGGTTGCCATGGCAACCGAAAGAAAAAACTTGAAATATCTTCTTTTAAAGAACCCAAAGAGCTAGAGCTTAGATATTTGGCATGAAACATCTTCTAGTAAGTGTCTACCAAGTTTGTTCAAATAAAAGCCATGGGGTCAAAATTGGCCCCGCCCCAGGGGGTCATTGATTTTCCCTATATACATATAGTAAAAACTTAAAAATTCTTCTTTTAAAGAACCAATGGAGCTAGAGCTAAGATATTTAGCATGAAACATCATCTAGTAAGTGTCTACCAAGTTTGTTCAAATAAAAGCCCTGGGGTCAAAATTGGCCCCGCCCCAGGGGGTCATTGATTTTCCCTATATACATATAGTAAAAACTTAAAAATTCTTCTTTTAAAGAACCAATGGAGCTAGAGCTAAGATATTTAGCATGAAACATCATCTAGTAAGTGTCTACCAAGTCAAATAAAAGCCCTGGGGTCAAAATTGGCCCCGCCCCAGGGGGTCATTGATTTTCCCTATATGCATATAGTAAAAACTTAAAAAATCTTCTTTTAAAGAACCCAAAGAGCTAGAGCTAAGATATTTAGCATGAAACATGTTCTATTGGGTGTCTACAAAGTTTGTTCAAATAAAAGCCCTGGGGTCAAAATTGGCCCCGCCCCGGGGGTCATTGATTTTCCCTATATGCATATAGTAAAAACTTAAAAAATCTTCTTTTAAAGAACCCATAGAGCTAGAGCTAAGATATTTAGCATGAAACATCTTCTAATAAGTGTCTACCAAGTTTGTTCAAATAAAAGCCCTGGGGTCAAAATTGGCCCCGCCCCAGGGGGTCATTGATTTTCCCTATATGCATATAGTAAAAACTTAAAAAATCTTCTTTTAAAGAACCCATAGAGCTAGAGCTAAGATATTTAGCATGAAACATCTTCTAATAAGTGTCTACCAAGTTTGTTCAAATAAAAGCCCTGGGGTCAAAATTGGCCCCGCCCCAGGGGGTCATTGATTTTCCCTATATGCATATAGTAAAAACTTAAAAAATCTTCTTTTAAAGAACCCATAGAGCTAGAGCTAAGATATTTAGCATGAAACATCTTCTAATAAGTGTCTACCAAGTTTGTTCAAATAAAAGCCCTGGGGTCAAAATTGGCCCGGCCCCGGGGGTCATTGATTTTCCTTATATGTGTATAGTAAAAACTTAAAAAATCTTCTTTTAAAAAACCCAATGAGCTAGAGGTTAGATTGCAGGAAACATCTTTTTGTGGGTGTCTACCAAGTTTGTTCAAATAAAAGCCCTTGGGTTAAAATTGGCCCTGCCAAAGGGGGGGGGGGGGGGGGAGGTCATTGTTTTTCATTATATGTGTGTAGTAAAAACTTAACATCATGAAACATCTTCTAATGAGTGTCACCCAAGTTTGTTCAAATAAAAGCCCTGGGCTTTAAACTAGCCCCGCTCCGGGGGCCTAAATACAGGTGAGCGACCTCAGGGCCATCATGGCCCTCTTGTTTAGTGTTTTTGTTTTTGTTTTATTTTTCTCAAATACTTTTATGTCATATATCTTTGTATGGCCTTTTAAGCATATTATTAAGCATATTATTTGGATTTTTAAAAAGTTTATAGACATGCTCTTTTTTGAATTTTTTTTTTATACAGTAAAAGTTGAAATATATTATAAAAATATTAAATTTGAAAATATGTTACACACTCAGAGTTAAGGCATTTAAATCAAACTTAGGTGCTGTTTCATAGTTTGTCTTCATTTGGTGTAAATATTTGTTTAGTATTAACACTGACTTGAATGTTTATTATATATTAAGTTTATGATTTTATGTTAATGGGCATTTGGTTTATGGTACAATTTTATGTAACGAACTTCATTATTTTATATGTTTACTTATATACTTGCAACGATGGCGACTGTGTTCATGTATCTAATTTATGCATGAAATGATCTCAAAAACTAATGAAAATACATGTTGTAACAACTTTTATGAATGTATTAAAAATAACAAAAATAATCATTTTATCTTAATAACAATCAGCTTTTAACATGTAGGAAACATACATTTTAGCCTTGGTTAAATTTCCATCAAATATCCATATTAAGTATATGATTATATTCTATTCTTTATGAAATTGATTCAAGCCGTGATCGAGACTTTTTCATTGTTGATTTGGTTTGATATCAATGTTCATATTATTAAAAAATTATTCATTATGATTACATAAGCTTATGTAATTAAATACCCAAGCGTATGAATGATAAAGATTGTTTAATCAGATAATAAGAAATAATATCTTTTATTAAAATGCTATAGGCATATATAAAGGTCAATTTTAAGTACTGTAAGTACTGGAAACCTGTAAGTACTCGAAACCAGCAAAGCATACGAGTTAGAGAAGCATCTTCAAGTGTTAAATAATACCTCATACAGGAGCTGTAAAAAATCAACTTTTCAGTAGCATTTAGCATACTGTGAATAAAATTGGTTTCAATAGTATTCAAATCAAATATTATCTCATCATAAAATGGTCTTAAGCTTTGCCGGTTAAAAATAAACATAACTGGTGAATTACATTTATCATAACATTAATGACCTTAACATTTTGTAACTTATGCAAGTTCACGGTCAGGTCATCATCATTATCTGAATTAAAGTTTTTCCTTCTTTAGGCATCTTTGAAACAGTAGTAAACATACTAGAAAATACAAGTTTATATAA